TTCGAATCTGGAGGTTTTATGGTAATTGGCTGCATATGGTTTATTTTATTGAATGAGTGAAGTTATTGGCAGAGAAGGTGGGAGCAGAAGAAGGAAATCTTGGTGTTGCTAGGATCGGTTCTAGGGCTTTGAGCAGGGTATTATTGATGACATATTTATTTGCAAGACCATGGCTCAACCTCAGGAAAGATTCCTATTGTTAGAGGGTCGCAAATTTCTGCCAATTTCAGGCACACTCAAAGGTGCCGCCTCCGCGGCCCCACAGTGCCAAAGCATGGCTCCAAGGCAAAATTCATGGGACCACACTCAGTTGCAGTTTCTTTGCTCTCCATGCCCCATCTGCCTGCAGTGCTGATGCAATCCCGCCACACCGGTAATGGCCAGCTCTGGAGTTTGTTTGCAATACTGCCCACCTGCGGCACCAAGGATGCGCGCAATTTCAGCTGTGTTGGAGTCGGGGGAGTACCTGCTAGTGACCTGCAGTCCCAATATCTGTGGCAAGGAAAAGCACGGGGTCTCCCAGTCTGACCCAAGCCTGCTCTGTGGTCCACTGGGAGGGGAGGGATCTAGCCTTTCTGGTGCAACAGTGAGATCTCTGCCTGAATCTCAGCAGTGGTGCCTGTGCCTGCCTGCATCCAGACCACCCAAATTACCAACCAAATCAGTTGCTGGAGGCAGGTCTCTGCCGCTGCCCACTGGAATATTGTAGTGGTCGCTGGTATGCTGCTATAAGGTGACTTTGTTCTTGGCTCGGGGATCTCAGGTGGCCACCCTCGCCTGGCAGACAGTGACTGCCCCAGGAAAGTTTCCAATGGTCTCTCTCGGGTGCCTGTTCGTCCTCCGGCAGTAGCTGTTTCCTAAATAATCTCCCCGTGCCTTTCTTCTAATTCTGCTCTTCTGTGTTTGGTGCCCTCTGATTCAGTGAGCTGTTCAGAGTGCCAAAGTTCCTAATTCAAACTGTTGTACCTAGTTTTCAAAGTCCTTAGATGCCAGAGGGAAAAAATGCATGCTGCTCACTGGCAAGACTCTATTTTGAAAAACAAAACAAAAAAAAAAAATTTGTTTTGTTTTTAACTGCTGCCAAATTAATAAATCTGTATGAAAGAGTCAGAAAAAGTGTGAAACAGGGACTCCTTGGTCAGGGACAAGAATAGTGCATCAAAGAGAACTTGTTTTTTCTAACTACTCACAACCAGGAAACACTGTCAATGGGTGGATATCATAGCACTATGGCACAATGCCAGGCTGAGAGTACTTTTTTTCTTGGTGGAAACTAGTGTGAGAAGCTCTATTTGAGAAAGGCCTTGGGCCATTTGTAGCCCACACCCAGGTAACTCCTCCAACACCCTCACTCCCAGTTCTAGTTAACAGTGGTCCATGGCTTGACTTTCCTGCTATGGGAAAATAAGGGGTAACATTTATTCCTTGCACAGCAGAAGTGGAAGCTTGAGGTAACTGCCTCAGGGGTTTTATAAACATTAAAATGTCTAAAATGTACAAGGTAAGATATGATTTACTCAGTGTTTATTTTATTCTAGGCATTGTGTTAATCCCTTCACAGGGAATATTTTATTTACTCTCTAAAATAACTCCATGAAATAGGCATTATTATTTTCATTTTACAGATGAGGAATGAGCACAGCAGAGTTAATTCACAGTCCACAAACCACACGAGGACACTGGGGAAGAAGGGTGCAGCCAGGATTTACCAGGCTATCTCCACGGCCAGCAGACTTAACCCTACATTAGATCCACAGGGACATTGTTTTGTGATTCTTTCTCGATAGGAAACTTCTTAGTGCCTAAGACATTTCACTGCTAACCAGAAAGCTGGCGGTTCAAACTCACCAGCCACTCCTAGAAGGAAGCTTGAGCAATCTACTTCCATAGAGATACCACCTCAGAAACCCAAGGAGGGGCTACTATGAGTTGGAATCGACTCGACAGCAGTGAGTTTTTGAGTGACCCCCTATAAATGAAGGTAAGGGCTATCAAACAGTGGTGAACAAGAGATAATATGCCACAGTCCAATCAAACTTGGCAATCCTAACTGATTGCTAGATACAACTAGCTCTTACTTAAGAAATCCCAATAAATAAAAATCCTAATTTATGAAATAACTGAAATATTAGGAGATAGCCCTTTGTAATTAGATTCTTCACACCTCCAGGTCAAAGCCCAGTAGCTCTACAAAAAGATATTTCACAGATTAAAAAAAAAAAACCTCACTGCCATCAAGTTGATTCCAACTGATAGAGACCCCCACTGGGTTTCCAAGGTAGTAAATCTTTACAGAAGTAGATCACCCCATCTTCCTTCCACAGAACAGCTGGTGGGTTTGAAACACCAACCTTCCAGTTAGCAGTCAAATGCCTTAAGCACTGTGCCACCAGAGCTCCTTATATTCACCTTATTTGACATAAAAAATTATTACAAACAACTGAAATGTCCATCAAATGATGAATGGATAAGGAAAATGTGGTATTTACACACAATAGAATATTACTTAGCCATATAGAGAAGGCCTGATGCATGCCACAACATTGATGAACCTTGAAAATATCATGCTGGGGGAAAAAGGTCAGACACAAATGGAGAAATACTTCATGATCTCACTTATACGAACCCAGAAACCAAACCACTCACTGCCATCGAGTTGATGCTGACTCATAGCAACCCTACAGGACAGACTAAAACTGCCCCATAGGGTTTCCAAGGCTGTAAATCTTTACCAAATCTAACTTCATCTTTCTCTTGCTTAGCAGCTGGTGGGTTCAAACCGCCAAACTTCTGGTTAGCAGCTGAATGCTTTAACCACAGCTCCACTAGAGCTCCCTCTTATATGAAATAAGCATATATATAGAAACAAAGTTTATTAGTAGCTACCAGGGTGGGAGGAAGGGAAAAGGGAAGTTTTTGCTTAGGAGGCATTGAGTTTGTATTAATGGTGGTGGAATAATTTGGTAAAGGACGGCAAGAATGGTTACACAACTTGAGGAATGTAATTGGTGTCATTTGTTTTCATACAGAAATTGTTAAGAAGGTATATGTTTTGTCATGTATATTTCCACCACAATAAGAAAAAATTATTGCAACCAATTCATCAAATATCTAATGAAAATTTTTGAATCTCTAATTTAGATATATTTAATCTAAAAGGATTGTTTTATTTCATTTCTCTGAGAAATAATTCAAAGACATTCTAGAAATCATATTTAAATGATAAATTATATGAAATTAGGACTATTCCAGAACATCTGGGACAGATGATTGACACAGATATATATATATCTGGGGAATTCCTGAACCACCTCAATATCCATGTCTTCCCAGAGCTTTTCATTCTTTACTCATTTATTATGAACCTGTTAATCTTTCACTATGAGTCAATGCAGACATGATGTTAGTTCCCTGTTCAGTTTTACAATATTATGCATATTCATTCAAGCAATCAATAATCAGTGGTAATGATATTAAAAACAAGAAATGTAATTAATATTTAATTTTCATATCTGCAGTCTAATCTGTGCTTTTTGCGCTACTATAGTATTCATAAAAGTAAGAGCAAAATTAACCATCAAGCTTACCTGGCATGAATGGAAAATGAATCCATGGAGCAGAGATAATTAAACAGGAGTGCAAAAGGGAATGCAGCCCCTTGATAAAGTGATAGAGGATGGAGCTGAAGCCAATCCATTAAAAACTGGAACAAAAGATATTGTCCTTTCCAGTGTCCTTAACTTGTGTCTTTCTGCATGAGAAATCTCAACTAGGCTCTCTGTCATCTTTTTATATGCTTTAGGGAAGCCTGGAAGAGTGAAAGGCAAACAAAGCACTAGTGATAAGCAGTGACAAAGCTGACTTTCTGATAAAGGGAACTGCTCTATAGAAACCAAAATGCAGTTGGATATTCTATTACTTAATAAAGGCATTACTAAAAACATTGCTTTCAGAAGGTGTGGGTTTGTTCAGTTTACATTTTACATTATTTGACTTTCCAGTCATATTTTCTTCACTAAGCTAGTCAAAAATCCCATTTTTCTGTTGTGGACAAACAACTCAGTGGCCTGGGGAGTGAGAGCAAGAACTTGAGAGCATGAGAAATGGAGGCGGGTTCTCAGAGCAGAAAAACAAGATTTCACCTCCGGACCATTACTGTCCTCCTTACGCCACTTTTTTTTTTTTTTTTAATTGTACTTATCACTAGCCCTTGTGGTAGTGTTGTTGTTACGTGCCATCAATAAAGCTAATAAAACACAAGTAGACATTTTTCTGATATTCTTTGCCTTGATCCACGATCCATCTGACAGCAGCTATGATATCCCTTGTTCCATGTCCTCTTCTGAATGAGTTTGTACGTCTGGAAATTCTGTCAATATACTGCTGCAAACATTTTTGAATTATCTTCAGTAAGATCTTACTTGTGTGCGATATTAATGATATTGTTCTATAATTTC